TATTTTCTCTAATATAATTCTTTTTATATCAAAAAATCAATTTTTATATATATAATAATCTCTTTTCTTCCCCAAATTCATTAAATAATAATTTTTTAATAAACTAAAACCCTTAATTAGAATTTCTAGATTATATTTTAAATCTTTATATTAATATTTAGATCCAAATTCAATAATCAATCCTTAAGAGATTAATTTTCGAAAATTATTATATTCAAGAGATTTCATTATATTATATTTTAAAGTAATCTTCTTATAAATCAAATAGCAATTAATTAAAATAATAATTAATAATTATTATTCTATTATTTAATAATTTCCGTAATATTAATATCGATATTCTGATATTAATGAATATAGTTGATCCTCTATATTAATAAAATTCATATTGAAATTATAATTATTATAGAGCTTTAGGATAAATAATATCTTTTTTTATTTATCTTCAAATAATACTCTAACTATTTTAGCTTTTGAAAAGGTAGATTATAATTATTTATATAGTTTTTGAATAAAATCTTTGCTATTATATATTATAAATTGTATTAAAACTAGTGTACTATTTTTTCATATTATTTAATATATATTATTTGAAGGGAAAACTTTAGAAAACATTGTTCTCTATAGTATATTATTCTTTTTCATATTTCAAATCTTTAAATTAATTAAATCTTAATGAATTTCTGAATTCGTTTTATATATTCCTATTGTAGTGTACTCTAAATGACGTATATATTCCAATAAGTTATAAGAAACAAATAAATTATTAAGATAGATATAATATAAAGCTTTAAATAGTTTTTGTATTAAATATATAATTATTACTTATATTTTATTCAAAGGTTTCTCTCTATTTATTAATTCTAAAAGAAGAGGAATTGAAATTTCTATAAAATTATTCTTTTTCTTTAATTTATATTAATTCTATATTATAAAAAACCCTTGATTTATAGTAATCTATATCTTAAAGCTAATAAATATAAATTTATTTTTAATAATTATAATATATATTAATTAATTAATATAATATATAATATATTCATTTACTATAATTCAACTTTGAAATTATTAAATTGAGAGATTAATTTTTTGAATATAATCTAATAAAGGATTTATCTATAAAGAATTATATTAGTATATTAATTTTAAATAGGAAAATTAATATTTTATTCTTTTATAAACATCTTTTGTTCTAAGAGGTATAATATAATATTATATATAAAACTCTTGGAATCTATTTTTTAATATAAAATATATAAAAGGATATATAATAGTATCTTTATTATATTCTTAATAAATTTTAATTTTATATTTAGAATAAATAAATATATATATATATATATCTAAATATAAATAAATCTTATTTGTTATTATAGAATACTACAAAAATACTTACAAATTCAAAAGTTTTTTATTTTCTGATATTTACATATATAAATTCGTTTATTCTATAATCGATTTCATTATTTTAATAAAAAAATAGAAATAAAATAAAATGAGTGTATTATAATCTCGAATATTGACTTATAAAATGAATTCTCGATCGAAATTTATATAATTTATAGATTTGAAATAAATCCCTATTTTCGAAATAGAGAGGATATTTAGATATAATATTTCTATATCAGTAGAATCAAATTGTATGTTATCTAAAGGTATATTAATGGAATTGTTATATATAATACATTTATTGATTTCCGTATTATTAATATTATTCACAAAGTTATTAATATTCTTCCTTAACGCATGGGCCACAATTGGCGCTATTTGTTGGCACCTTAGGGGATATATATGTTCTACCCCACATACGCACTTCGTACGTAAGTGGGGGAGAACGTGACTTGTTCTCAGTCACGTGTTCCAACATAAATATAAATATATTAAAGAAGAATTAATAATCACATTTAATTAAATTAATTATCTTAATTGATTTGGTTGATTTAACTCTAATTAACCAAATTGACCAAATTAATTAAATTAACCAAATTGATTAAATTAATCAAATTAATTATTTTAATTAAATCATATAGAATAATAAATAAATTAAAAATCTATTTATACACAATTAGATTTGAATAATTTATTATAATAAATTAATGATCCTGCGATTAAAAGTGATAAATTCAAAATAACCAGATAGTATACATACAAAAAGGGATTTTATAAAGCAAATTAAATTTATATTTTTGTAGATTATATTTCATTTGATATAAGCAAGGAAAATTAGATTCAAATAGAGTACTCTTGTACTACAATACAATAGTGAATTATAAAATTATCGAACTCTATTGAAGATATAAATACTACAAATAATTCTAGAATATTAATATTATCATAGAAGTTAATAAGGCTTTTTACAAATATATATATATATATATACAGAGTTTATATAATTGAATAATAAATTCCTATTTTAAGGGAGATATTAGAAATTATATATACGATATGTGTATAGTATATATATGTTATTATAAAACTCCTTTCTTTGGGCTTTTTGGATATATAGATTTAATAAATATATTTAATATATTACTCTTTATGCGTAACTTGCTGTTTATTTCTAACAAGTATAATTCAATTTATAATAAACTAAGTATACCTCAAAAAAGAACTTATAAAAATAATAAAGTATCATAAATCTTTAAGTTTTTTAAAATCTATTCAAAAAGTTTATTAAAAATTAAATGAAAATCAAAATCAAAATAGTTTAATATTATTAAAAATCAAAAGGTGAACTATATAAAAAAAGAAAAAAGAAGAAAAAAGAAAAGAATATATATGATAGATTTATTTTAAATTTGTTTTATTATAGTTTGATTTTTAACATATTTGAAATAAATTATATATTAACTTCGAAGTGTATAATGAAAAGTATCAAATTTAAAAAAAATTACACAAAAGAAAGAATCAGTTGATTATATATATATATATATATAAAATCTTAATTTTCTTTAAACTTTTGATTCAAAGACTATAAGAGAAGAAGAATATAAAATATAACATTTAATATTATTTATTATATATATTATTAATGAGAAATAATACAACAATTTATGAATCAGAATGTGTTATTCGATATTCAATTATGTTAAAACTTTTTTGTATTATATAATCATTTTAATTTTCTAATTTCAATTTTATAAAACATATTTAGAATAATATTCAAACTTGAATCAAAAAGAAATTATTTTTTAATAGTTAAAATCGAGTTTGAAAATATTTAAATAAGAAATTAAATAAGATTCCTATTTCAAAAACAAATAAATAATCAATGATTATAATCTTTTATTTTATTTTATAAATTAAGTCTTCAAAGCTTGATATATTCATAATTCATTAATCAAATAAAATTTTAATCTATATGAATGATTCTCTTTTTTTAGTTTTTAACTTTTTCATTTTTGATATAATTCTGTTTTCAATGTTCGAATTTCTTATCAATAAAATAAATGAATCAATAAACACATTTCTTCTTATTCATTTTGTAAACTTCGATTAAATATTATTGAAATACTTACTTATATAACTATATCGAAGATATAATACTCGAAAATAAAAATGTTATTTATTTCAGATATTTTATGTTTTCTGATAAAATTATTAAATCTTTTTTAATATTAATATTTATTACATTTATTTATATAATCAAATTGATTTATGAAATAATATAGTTTCAAGAATACAAGAGTTCTGAAATTCATTCACTACATATATAACACTTTTCTAATTAAAATTTAAGATTTTACATCTTTTTTATATTGTAGTTTGTTTATTACAATAAAAATAAAAAAAAGTTATATAACAAAAGGAATTAAACTTATTGAAATTATTTTAATAAAAAAATAGTGTGTGGTGAGTATGTTTGATAACTCTGACATTGAGATGGAAATAGTTTATATAATAATATAGCCTGTATACTAATATAATAAACCACGTTACATTCGAAAAGAAAATTATATTGCATTTCGATAGAAATATCAACAAGCCAAAACATACTGTTTAATATAAAAGAGTAACCTACAATAGGAATAGCTAGAAGAAAAAGTGGTCACCTTATCAAGCAATTAGAATAGATAAATTCCCAATACATGACATGCTAATCCCAATGACGCCATTAAAGAATCAGTTACGGGAGAACCCTCAGATGAAATGTTACAGCGTCTCCTAAAGAACCTTGTCTACCAAATTGGAGAAGACCTTTACATTGACAGTGATACCAAAGATCAAGTCATGGAGTGATTGATATGGATATAGTGATATGAATGTAGAATGAATAAAATATAAGCTAGATTTGAATGATGTTTTGACCACCATTATGGATTGAATGTATGTAATCGTTCTCCTGTTGTTTACCTTCATGATTTGAATGACTGTGATTTTTGTGGTTCGATGTAGATCAGCAATCACAAGTTGCAACGGTTACATGGTATGTGTGTCGAATTAGTTGACAAGTCATGAATAGCAAATGGTAATCAAATTACAATAGCAATCGTCGATGTCAGGAGGTATAGCCACTATCTTATAATACCAGCTGTCTGCTTTCGTTCGATCATACCTTAGGTGTGAAAGTGGCCTTCAAGTGATCAATCAAGGTCGTGTTTTGGTTAATGCACATAGAAGAAATGCCCTGACACTATGATAGAAGTCTAGTATCCGAACTAGCTAACTCCCATACAAACTCCATGATTTTCCATCTTATCGATGTTAGACAATTTGAGCAGAAGCTCCATTCTCTGATTTTCTGTTGTACAGAGTCTGTGGGGTATTTATCTTTACTAGCTTGTTCCTACATTCAAATCCCCCTCCTTCCTCTGCAGACACTCTCTTCACACCTTCCCTAAATAGCCCCACGTCTTCTAGTAAGTACAAACTACTGACGCTTTGCTTCTAAAACCGATTAGTTCCCTGCTACTAATGTTCTGTTTGATGGAAGTATCTATCAGTGATATCCGAGATCATTGGTGACGAGAAGCAGTATGATACACTTCCAGGATGACAATATGGATGATATGGTCTCGGTATGTTATCGTGCTTGTTAAGGGCTGTTCATATAAAGTGGGATAGTTTCCTAATACAGTAGCTCAATGAGTTTGCGATAACGCTTGAATGTCATTGGGCTCCATCAATAATGCTCTTGTCTCTTCTGAACTGTCATATCACTACTTCTGAATTGTTTTCAAATATGAATCATTATTTTCCGTACATGATTCATACTACAGGTATAACTACATTGATTGTCTTTGAGTCCGACAGAAGCAAATTCACGGCATATATAACACCGGCAAGCCTTCTCATTAAATTCTGTCCTGTGGCCGTTCAGTTCAAAAGACTTTTTGGATGTGTTACCAGAAGAAGTTTATAGAAAGCTGAATGTCTATCTTGACATACCAACGTGAATTGACCAAGTGAGATTCTTCACAGCCAGCTTTATTAAAGGAAACAAACGCAATAAGACAATCATTCAGATCAAACAATTCCTCGCTAAAGGATTTTCCAGATATCGTTGATAAACGTCCTGTAATAATCTCCAATATCTCAACACTCAGTCCCACCCCCAACCTATCTGAGGGCGCAAACATCCTGAAGCAATCACTGGCATACGTCAAGTGTAATAATCCACGAGAAAAAGATTACCCAAAACAAAGCCTACTTCTCAATTATCAAGCTTTGCTGGACAGCAACTGGAACGCCGCGGAAGAACCCTGCCTAGCCATGAACGTGATACGGTCACTATTTTTGTATCTCAACGCTCTGAATCTACATACAGATAATGGATCATGGGAAGGTCTTGAATTTATCTTAAAAAAGGAAATTTTAGAACCCGGGGTAAGTTCTCGTCGACTAACACTGTCATAAATTCTAGTTGCTTTGTGCTTGATATTCCGACATCGCCGAATGATGTGATATCCAAGTCAAATTACATCTCTAGGGAGAACTTGTGGGTTTTAAAATTGCCAATAAAGTTTTTCACCCTTAAATTTTAGTCTCTGTATTGGCAATTTGGTTCGTGAATACGGAAGTAAATTTCTCACATTCTACACCCCCCTATCTAACCGAAACTCCACTTTCATCTCAATATCAGATGACTATCAGTTCCTTAACTCTTCAATATCAAAACACGAACATCACGAAGTCTATTGTTCATGAAAATAAGCTAACAGAATTTTGCTTCAGGAACCAATACCTTATTATGATCTAGCCATGAACTTTACGGTAAGCGTTCACGATGTACCAAGCGAAGCTTTCCACAGCTAAGCTTACCAGCGTACCGGCTCTAGTTTGTATATCGACTGACACAAAAACATTTCAGCACTGCGTAATAGTAGCATACGACTCCGTGAGCCCGTACCAAGTTGAGATTTTCAGAGACATCAAATCGCCCATCATCCCTGATCTCAGTAGATGGTCAGATATTGCGTATCTGCAATGGGCGGAGGTCTGCAAATTCCATGGCACTAAAGTGAGCAATATAAACCACGTTATTCAACATCATACAACGAACCAGATAACATTGGAAGTCATAAAAGAGGTGCCGAAGAAAAGAAAAGAATCGCTCGCGCCATCGGGATGTGTTGTGTCGATGAAGGATAGTAATGGCCATGGTGCTGCATCACTGGGCACCCCGAATGGAAAAGGAGTTGCTTGGCTCCTGGCTCAACATAAGGAAGCTTTCAAGGACTTGACAATCATCAGTGTGGAGATATTTTCGTGTAAACCTGCAAATAACGGGGACGAGACAGAATTTCAACATACATCCGATAAGTCTTCGTGGTTCAACCTCAGTTTTCGAATTGGCCAAGAATGCTCTAGACATTACTTCTCCGTCATCTGATTGAAATCGGCTCGGACATTCCGATATGTAGAAATATTGAGGGGATAACTGGGACGTTGATATGAACGAGAGATTTTCGACATGGAAAGGGAAAACATATACGGAGTTTCTAGATTGAAACATTAGATAAGATGCACTGCTCTATTTACAGAATCAGATTCCCAACGAGAATGAATCAGCATTCAATGAACACACTCTACGTAGGAGAGAAAAATCAGGCCGGAATTGACCACTTCTCAATACTTTCAATAATCAAATTATTTTCTTCAAATTTGAAATAAAATATATATATTAATAGTTATCAATATATTTAAGAGGTAAGAATTGATTTTATATTTTCAAGTTTAATCATTTTATTTATAATTGATTTATAATTCAATCAATTGAAAGATTCTAGTAAAGTTTTCAATGGTCAATTGCGGCCTGTTTTTTCTCCTACGTAGAGACACATTCCCGTGCTCGGTTCTCGCAGTATCCCGCCAGGATATACAACCAGTGGAGCCTTCCTCTTACCAGGACGACGCATTTGTCAGAGAACGTCACACTTTCAAATAATAAATGAGTAATACTATGGACCAGAAATCGATATTTATTCACAGTACTGAATTCTTATTTTTTAAAGATTGGATCTCATTTTAAATCTTGACTAATCTCATCACACTGATATTAAGCCCTCCCTTTCATATACCAGCCCGCTAGCTATCGGCTCTCAGGTACGTTCTTTTCCGAATTGTTTTCCGTCTCAAGTAAAAAGAAAGAGTGATACAAATCCAGAAGACACCAACCAACCAACCATCCAATGCAGAAAATATACGCCTTAAAAATTCGAGATTAATTTCAAAGATTTCCCTCCCCGACAGAATCGCTCACATACGCGTAAATGCTAAGCACTCCTCTGCCCCTTCCCTTTTCCCTGTCCCTATTCAAATCTCCCCATCTCTCCACTGTAAAATCCTCGATATTCCTATCCATCTTCATCTACATAGCAGCTAATTCAGAATCAATACTCCTGTCCAAAAACGTCCTCCTCTCACCGACCAACTCGGTCTGCAACCTCTGTTCTACCAAAGCTCTAACCTGTTTCTTCGTTACATTATCTAGATCTACCTCCCTCAAGCAATTTTGAATAGCCTCTACAATCTGCAAATCATCTGGACCGGCAGTACCTCTTTGGAAATCAAATCCACTAGCAGGTCTATCAATGGCAGCTCCTGCTAAAGGTGAACGAGCACCACCTGCGAAGCCTAGCGACGAACGTGATTGATGTCGTCCTTGACCGCCACCGAGAAGATTGTCGGAAGACATCATTTGCATCGAAGGACGATTGTTGCCAGGGTAGTCTTGATATGGCGAGGCGGATTGATCTTGGCGAAGAGACATCGCAGATTGATTGCGGAGAGGGTGGTCGGTGTATTGGTTTGCGGAATAAGTAGATTGAGGAGGCATGTATGGACCGCGACCAGGGAAACCAGTTAGAATAGTGGAGGCTGGCTTGACAGATGAGTACATGGATTTCATGTCATCCATTTCGTATTGATCATCGAATGTATCATATGCCTTTTCAATTGCTACTCCGCGACGTCCTGGAAGGTTGTTGTGTAAAGCGTAATCATCCCATCGTTGAAGAGGAATGCTTCTTGGGTCAAATGTTTCTCCATCCACGGCCACAACCTTCGCAAATCCCTTTTCTCCCAGGACAATACGTGTGTTACCCCACGAGAAGTTGTCTTGGTTCCAGAATGAATAGATTGGCAGAACGAAAGAGTAAATTGGGAACGCAAGGATATAAATAATCATCCATCCAACGTGTTGCCATTGACGTTTGAGAATAAATATCAAAGCTTGTAAACCGTATGTACCAGCAATCATACAAATCGAAATAAGGGGAAATTGACCTTGATGCGTTCCGACTTTGTACAACAAATATCCTAGATAGACTGTAGTTGCAGGAAGAATGATTGTACCGAAGAGATCGATGAAGACAACGAATCTCATGCTGAAACAACAGAATCCACACAGTTCAGGAAGCCAGACCAACTCAGCTAGATTATGGATGGTAGAATTAATCCAACGTCTTCTCTGAGACAGAAGAACACTCCAGGTTTCAGGCGCGGCAGTACTGGCGTAAGCATCTGGAATAAACTTGTACTTCATATATGGAAAGTGCTTGGTCATCAATGTAGTCAAGAACCGATCCTCTCCAAGAGACAGAAGATTCTTCTTGTGCAAAGTATCAACAACACATTCACTGTACTCGTTAATGATGGCATCAGCGATGATCAATGGTTTCCCTTTATCAGCGGTACGTAGACGATACATAGTGAAACTATAGAACAAGTATTAGTATGCTGCATACAATGAGTAGAGGCTTAGGAAAAGAATTACTTACCAACCAGGTAAACAAGTGACACTTCCGAATAGAGATTCGAAGGCTTTTGCCAAATGATGCGAGATGAAATATTCGTAAACTTGAATCATGGTCCACCAAGACTGTTCCTCGTTTTCGAGATTGGTTTCACCACAGATACCAGCGATTTTTCCGTCATTGGAACAGGCAGCCACGAGACGATTCAGCGAGTCTTCCCTTACACTGGTATCGGCATCAATCATAAGTAGATATTCGTAAAGCTCTGGATCCACGCCAATAATGTTGTTGATTTGATGGAACATTTCCAACTCCAATGGGTTCATGGGAGCTCTGTGATGGACGCGATTGAGGAAGCTCATAAGAAGAATTTGAGTGTCACGTTTTCCACGATTACCGGGCTTCGATTTGGATTGCTCGGATTCCTTGCCAACCTTGACCACTACAATATATGGGACCACGTTTCCTTCAAATTCATATAAGCCTGAGTATACCTTACCATAGTTGAGTTGCTCGTTGCCGTCCCCAACGGATTTGAACGGCAAGGCGGGAGGATCGATCTTGGGATCTACACCAAGAATATCGAGTATAATCTTTGGTGTGGGGCGATCATTACCACCTCCTACAACCATACCATCACAAACGACACAGATGAGCTTCCTTTTATTATCGTATTGTAAAGCTGTCAAAGAGTCCAAGGCTTTACGCAATGAGTCTTCACCTTCGGTATATGCTGGAACTTGGCAAATGACAAACTTGTCTTGAGGAGTTGGACGTCGCTTCGAACCAAATTGAAGTGCAGAGACGAACTTGATGACAATAACACTACACAAAACAATTGTGAAGGCAAGAAGGATGTAGTTGTTGATCTGACATTTAATGGAATCTCGGAAATCGGGAATACCTGCATAGAACAGATTGTTCATGCAATTCAAGTTGTTGAGGATATCCACTTGATAAGATGAATTGGCGTTTTTGTAATTGTCGTCCCATTTACTCGTGATGTCTAGACCCGGGTTTCTGAGTACCATTTGATAGATTGTATCGTCAATGAACTCATAGCTCTCCACATTTGTATATAGACTTAATGTGTAATAGTAATTGGTGAAGTCGTAGATCTTGCCCTTTAGAATCACCCAATAATGTTCATCGTTTTGGCCTTCACTATTGATCGCACTATTCTTCACAACTAGATCACCATGGTAATACTCTTTGATTGCAGGTGTGTACACGTCCGCATACCAATTCCAGTCATAAAGCTTACTGGTAGTATATGCTGAAAGATTGCCAGATATGTGGACTCCGGCAGGATATTCAGCAGTAGTATTGTCCTGTAGTACCAAAGTGTAGTCGGTCACAAGGCCAGGGCATGCAACAATCAATGGTGGTGGAAAGTAGCTGTCCAAATTCAAACCAGCAAAGGGTTGCATGACATCGGAGGTTGTCGTGACAGAGGTATCACTATGCTGCAACTTCCAGAACTTGGAAAGATCGTATACTTTTCCATGAATGCTGACCCAAAAATCGTTATCTCCTTGATGAGTGGCGACTTCGTTCGCATTCCATGCTTTATCAGAATTTGGACAGAGGAGTTTACCAAATTCAATAATCCAGAAAACAACCAAGCAATTGAGGAATAGGATAAAGAAGCACAACACTAGCTTTTCTCTCCAAGCCATGCGTACATCTGGTCGTTTCATCCGACCAATGAATGAAAGGAGAAATGAAGGAATCCACCATGTGAAAGCCCAGGTAGTAGCGACCCAGATGCGACGCTGGTTTGTTGCCTTCTCATTAACAACAGCTTTGGCGGTGCCACCTTCGGGGTCGTCCACCATTTCTCCATTCTCATCAGTGTAGTAAACTTGCCCCCTCATATCATCTCCCTTGAAGCCGAGTCCATAGTCACCACCACTGACATTCCGTGATGGTGCGATAGTGGGAGCTCCGAGGTTACTCCGAGCTACGTTGACTTGGCTTTGACGATTCATGATATTATCGTGACTTCCAAGAGGCGTCATATCATTATTAGGACCAGCAAAGAAACCGCTTCCGTTTGGTGGGTTGGATGAGTATCCTGTATTCATGTCGTGGGCTCCTAACATGCCTGCCATACCTCCGGGACCGCCCATACTTTGGAACTCCCCTTCGGCCGGCTTTAGGTCAAGCATGGTCTCAGCTTCCCACCAAGCACTTTCGCGGATCCATATCCGTTCTTTGCCGATGACAACTTCACCATTGCTCCAACCACGTTCCATGGTCCAGCTTTCAATGCCATCACGCCCATCCTTACAACCAATGGGGGCATATCGTTGAACAAATTCTTCGAAATCGAAATCGGCTGTGAAATCCAAATTCTTGTTTCGTCGATTTGCCCATTCTGGTAAGCGCCATGCGCGGAGTTGGCGTGAGATGGCACCCGCGGACCAAGCCGAAGTTGTTGAAGGAAGCGAAGCTAGAGCTGCAGGTGAATCGTCCGTAGGATGCATAGATAAGTGATACCAGACACGACTGCTACCAAGAACGGAAGGTAGATCAATACGACCGTTGCGGCCTAAATTAATACCTTGACCCTCGATTGGGAGCAGAAGCTTCTTGAGGAAACCATCATCCTCTCCCTCACGGGCGACCTTCT